TCCCCAAACCAGCCACGAACCAGAGTCCAATGGCGACCTACGGCGGCGTGCTGCGGCGCACCCGCAAGGCCCTCGCCCGCTTTGCCCGTCCCCAGTCCTTCGCGGCGCCGCCCGACGCCGAGACCGCCGCCGTCCGCGCCGTCCGGAACCTCCGATCCTTCCGCCTGCACTACGCTCTCCTCCTCTGGGTCCTCCTACTCGCCTCCCTCTTCCCCCGCCGCCGCGCCACCATGCTCTTCTTCATGGCCGCTTCCAAGGCCGCTTTTTTCTACGGCGTCCTCCTCAAGGCCTTCCCCAACTCCGCCCTCCTCCGCCAGGTCCTGGACCGCAGGCTGGCGGGCCGCGCTCGTGCTGGCCGTGGTCGGCGTCGAGCTGGTTATGACGCGAGCCGTGCCGCAGTTCCTGCTCGCCATGGCCATCGGGCTGCCGGTCGTGCTCCTCCACGCTGTGTTCCGCGTGCGTGACGATCTGACGGCCAGCAGCGAGGAGGCGGCGGCGGCTGCTGCCAACGGTGGCGAACTTGGACCGATGTTGGAGGAGAAGCAAGATCTTGAATTGGGATCCGAGTAAGAGAGCCATAAATTTGTCCTGTTACTTTCTTATTTTTCTTCCTTTTTTTTAGATTCTTTTCTTATCTCTCTGCTTCTACTTCTCAAATTATCATTTCTTTACATATTACCAGATAAAAACTTGTTATATTATACTGACAAAAAAATTACAATCTTGATAAGCAAATTCTAGATGTTGAAATTGAAGAACATGTAGTGGCAAAACATTTGTTGTGATCTAAGAGAGGAAGAAAGACTCTGCTGGCCAATGCTATGGTATTGATAATGATTGTAGCTTGCATTACATGTCCAGCTATCATTAGCTTATTCTTAATTGTTAGCAGGATTAGTTGTGGAGCATGAGTTTGCCACAGCAAAAAACTTGTGTCTGATCTGCTAAAGTGTCTGGTGCATTGAGAATAATAATCTGGTGCTGGCAGAATAGTTAGCCAAAAAACATAGAACACCATGACACAGTTCTATGGGTATCTGATCACATATCATGATTTCAAGACCAGTTCTTTGACTGGCATATAATTGCCTCAAATTCACCAAGAAATATTTATGTTTGTTCTGGTCTTTCAAAAGGAAAAACATCACCTGACACATGTTTGATGAGTCAATAAAACAGGAAGAACAGTTCCTGAACAAGTAACTTCTATGAGAAATGCTTAAAGGACAAGTTCCTTTGAGCATGCTATCAGCTGCACTTTCAATTAATATAGCTACATGAAAATCCATAAAAACAAGTAACTTCTGTGAGATAAACATAAGCTATATCTGTAAATCATTCCATGCTGACTGAACTCAACCTCACAACAAAACACTCATTTAAATATGCTTCAGGACACCAGGAAGCACTGGAGTACCTCAAAATAGATTTACCAGCTAGAAAAGCAATTTACTGGAAAGAGAGCCATTTATCTGTAAGGCATAAACAACTAGAAGAAGAAGAAGAATATGTGGGGATAACCACAGAGCTAAATTCCAGGTAAGGAAAATTATTAGCTACAGTGGTATTTGTAAGCAAAACATGTCAAACAATCAATGTAGGTTTTTGTTATGAAAAAGTTTGGTGATATATGAATGTCTCTATCCTGCTTCTCCTTGCACAGATCATTTGAATTAGACATATAGTTCAATCTTCATCTGTGAATCACTTGATATGATGTGAGAAAATAATTGGAGGGGGATATTAGGTTGTCAGTGTCCTCAGATGGTTTAAAGATACCAACTTGATGGAAAAATAGTTATGATTATTTTATTGTCTGAATATTGGCAAGTGTGTTCAGGTTATATGGATAACATGAGAATATTAACATGGAAATATATTATTTTGAGTTTTTCTGCAAATAGATGATGATGAAATTGATCAAATGACATCAAAAATATCAGCCTTCCTAAACTGAGAATGAAGTTGGAAATTATTGTCATAATTATTGTTTTTTAACTTCGTAAAGACGCTTTGTTTATGCTTTTTGCTAAGACAAATTTTCTCAATAAAAGAAAATAAAGATAGTAGCCACCTTCTCCAGAATTCATCTATTTTATTTTTATTTTTATTTTTATCAAGGGGTTTAGATACCTACTCCTGTAAAGTTTGATAAATGAGTGCTTACACTAACTAAGAACATGTCCTCATACTCCTCCAGAAAACTCAGGTTAACTTGTAACTGTGGTTTGAGTTAAAACTATATATATTAAAATCTAAAATACTCATAATATTTTTCATCATAATGAGATCTTAAATGATATTAATCATAGTTAAATTTTCAACAAAACAGAAAATGATGATTAGGTGATGAAGATTAATTGCAACTTGCAAGGATACATACACTACACAAGTTTTTAGGATTATATATATATATATATATATATATATATGTGTGTGTGTGTGTGTGTGAAAATTTGATAACGTTGAGGGCCGGAAACTGACACAAAACTCCACCTTTCTGGGAACAACGATGGGCTCTGTGTCCGACACGTGTGATTTGGTCGACTAATACAAAACTCAAAAAGATCTACCCGCCGTTCATTCTTCTGCTGCCGACTAAAAACCCTTCTCCTCTCGTCGCCTCAAACCCTCTTTGCTTTTCGTTCTTTATTCACGTCATGGACGGTGCCGCGAACGGCACCTCTGCCGACGTCGAGCCTGAGGCCGAGGCACCCTCCTACCCCGCCGACGCGGAGCCCAAGCCCGAGAGGAACGCCGCCTCCGTCGAGTAGGATCCGACCGATCAGGAACTGGCTGTGAAGGCGGAGGACGAGGATCTATCCACCGAGGCGGTCCCGCCGGCGAACGGCAGTGGTGCAGAGGTCAAGGAGTGGCCGGAGTGGCCTGGGTACAACGTGTTCGGACTCATCGTGTCCTTGCTGAAGACGAAGAGCATCATCGGCCGAAACGGGGGGAGCTTATCAAGAAGCTCTGCGAGGAGAGAAGGACTTGCGTATGAATCTTTGATGGGCCCATCGGCGTCCATCGCATTGTGAGTTTTCCTTGTTTTAAGGTTTCTTCGGCGACGTCTATTTTATTTTGTTCGGTATCTTACTTCATTGTTTAATCGCTGAAATATTTTGAAGCCGATATTTGGCTCAGCAAGTTACTGAACTTATGTTATGGAAATACAAGAAACAAACAAAAGAACAAAAGGGGCCTTTATTTGTTGTTTCTGTGGAGGTGAGTGTCTTAGGTCATAAAGTTACCAGCCCAAAAGGTTCAGAGCATGATTGAATTTGCCTACTTGGGAATTTACTATAATGATGTTTGACTTATGAACTCTCAATTGAAGATTTTTTTTTTATAATTTCGATAGTCCAGTGCATTGCATCATGGTAAGATATTTGCTAATATTTATTTGTTTGCTCCTCTTGGATAAAGACGCAGAGGAAGTATGCTCAATGTGTTCTCTTGAATTACTTTTATTTGGTAATTAAAATGTTGTAGTGCTGTAATGGTATATAACCCTCGGAGGTACACGAGATGAGAACTTTGAAGTTTATATGTTGCATTGTTTTTCTCTCACTCGCTCTTACTCTATATATATCTATATGGCATTACAGCCAATCCAAAGAATTCAAATTTGAATTATTATGATGGGAATGGAATAAAATTGCAAGCAAATTTCCAGAATGTCAGTGTCTGCTTTAATGATCATAAAATGCAGGGCTGTGTAGGCATGCAAAGTTTAGGTTGCTAAGAATTTACATGTTGTCTTAGACAGACAGTTTGAAAAAATGGGAGGTGTTTTACATTGTGCTAATCTGTTGAATTTGCATACTTCTCATCATTATGTTGTTAAAAGATCATGGAGCTTCCTTTCAGTGTCTCAATATAAGACTGTTTGACAGTCTTATATTGTTATCCTTCTGATAACAATATAAGAGAATTAAATACAGTGTCCTTCCATGGAAAATGATACAGGTGAAAACCTTTAGGACATTATCCTTCTATCCTGTTGTCTGTGTTCGACAGGCTATAAGAGTATTAAATACAGTGTCTCAATATAAAACTGAGATTGCTCAAGAAGTGATCGTTAGGTTCTAATGTTAGTCTTATGAAGCCTAGATAAATATATCTTCTTTAAGTATCTCATTCTTTCTGGTTCATGCTAAGCTGGATTACTTATGTTTTAGGGTGCGGTTCTTGAGATTTAAGAAGTGGGTGAAATTAATTGGATACAAGTTCTTTTATTACCAAAAAGCAAAAGCCTATTGGCAATCTGATTCAGCTGATGAATTGCTCTTGGTAACCAAATGCTCAGTGAAGTTCCTCTATGCACCTCACCTTCCTGTTCTCTACTCCGGGTTTATCCCACAGGACAGGCATATGTGATGGTTCCATTGTAGCTTGCAGTCTTACAGTATCTGGAGATTCAAAGAAGTCTTTTGGAACTTTCAGATGTAAACTGGTCGTATTGACTTGTAGTCCAATTATTGCCATGTTATTTCTGCTTGCTGCTGACCTGCAAAATGTTGCTCACTTGAGGATCGCCAGCTAAGGCAGTGGTTTTCTTTGGGAAGTATGGACTGCCATAATAGAATTGTTAACTGAGATCAGAAATATTGAATCTCTAGCAGCTCATCAACTTTACCATCCAGGTTTACTGGAAGTCAGAATTTTCACAAAATGCACAGAGCTTGATCTCATACGGGAGAATTGACTGTCATCCAGGTGCTGTGGAATGGAAATGCATCAGTTGTGTTTGTACAGCACAGAAGAGTGTAATGTCTTACAATTTTCAGTCTGTTGAACAAATGTTGTTGGGAGCAAAGTTAAAGTTGGAAGCACAATGCCTGCATAAATGGTTTTCTGTTGGCTATTGGGATCTTGTCTTTGTCAAAATCTAGAAAAAGAAGAAATATTATGATTTCAATTACACATCATGATTGTAATGACCTACCTCATGGTTTTGGTTGACAAGGTTGCAAACTTGGTAATGAGACAATTCATTTAAATAGTGAACATTCCTGCCTCATAAGCAGAATCCAGTATGCGTAGGCCAGGTAGCATTTGATGTCCCATTGTTTGACGTCCAAGCATCAAGCACAGCTGTGAGACTTGTAAGCTTGGCCTTCACACTGACACAACAGTTTGAATGCACTGTGATCACTTGATTTGACAGAATCCAGTGAAGCATGTGGTGTCTAGGTACCTCACTTTCAACCCCAGCCACCTGAAAACACCTGCCCTCTTCATCCTCAGCAGCGCCTCTTGTTCATTCATGCGTGTGAAGTTGTGTTTTGATGCATTCCATTAATCAAACAGTGCTGTAGTTTTGTTGTTTGGGGTCACAAAGTAGAAGCCAGTGTTGAAGAAGTTGGAATCATCAAAATGTCTGCCATTGTATTGTAGAAATTACTACTTATCTGCAGGTCCTCTCCTTCCTGGTTTAACTTGGTGAACGGATTCCTTAACCAAATAACATTCATGTCCTGATAGCAGAGATGAAAATAATAAGACATGCTGCAGAAATGTCTCTGCATTTTCTTGAAATAAACAGGCTTTGTCTTCATTAAGTCATTCGCATTCAGCCATTGCTCAGCAAGTTGAGTAGTAGAATAATTTTAGATCTTGGTGATACATTTGACACAAAAAAGACACTTTAGTAGATGCTTTCTTTTATATATGATTAAGACGAGCAGAACATCACAAGGGATATAGGCACAGCATCTGATGCTTTTAATAGATGATCTTTTGGATTAGTTTGAACACTTAATTCGATGTAAACACACACCATACCAAACAATTCTAGATGTCAAACTTATTTGTTGCTATTTATATTTTGTGGGAGTTAACCATCTGTTGTAATATCACACTGAGAAAATGGAATGCTTCAATCATTTCAGGGATGACTTGTGAGGCATATTCTTGCTTACTTGGAAGATGAAGCTGTATCCGCGCTTGAGGACGTCGCCAAGGAAGAGTGTTCTTCTCCACATCATTTCAATGAAGTCATCAGACATGTAAAACACCTCCTCGGAGAAATCAACACCTTCCATCACCAGCTTGTAGCAGTTGAGTCCCAGAGCGCAGCACTGGTTGAAGGATGTTTGATCGACTACAACGAAGAGGAGGTGTTTGATCAAGAACTATGTGCATTCCCCTTCTCGAAAACTTTGCAGGAAGAGGTTGAGCATGCCATTTTGCTCCATATACGCCTTGTTCAGTATTGCGATGATCGTAGTCTTGTTCGCCACAGAAACTCTCACCAGAGCTGCTTCTAGTTTGTCTTTTGGTATGTTTCTTGTCTGCCCATGTACAATACACAAGCTAGTTGATGAGCTCTTCACATACTTGGCAGGACGAAAATTTCTCGAAAAATTAAAATAGCTTTTTACTTCTGTTTGTACTCAGTATTGCTAACTTGATGAATGAGTTCTCATGTTGAACTTACAGTATTTATGTTGCGCTGCAGGTGAAAGAAAGCTGTTGATCCCTCAGGCATCCACAAGCAGGCGTAAATGACTCCCAAAACAAGAAAAGAGCTGATGACGAGTGCCATGGCACAGCCGGACATATTATTGGAGGGTCTCATGATGTAGAATGTGTCAAGGAGACACCTGCAGATCTGCTTGAAGTGGTGTAGAATATGGCTTCTCGCAAGAGATAACGAGATTAGCTATCGAAATCTGATCCTACACAACTGTTCTTTCTTTATATGAAGTTCAGGCTGTAACCAAGCATGGAAGCTTGATCCCGACACAACATGGATTAAAGGAATCCAACTCTTAGATTTGCTTTGGTCAACATGTATGTGAAGCATGTAGGAGACTCTTCGCCTTCGCTTTGTAGAATAGTCTCTCTGACCAACAATGCAAATACTGGGTATTTTATTTGGAATGCTGTGGGTGATGCAACTCATCGGATGATGCCATTCTCACCGTTGAACCAATCAAGGATCCAATTTGTGCAGTTCTTTCATGGAGATTGTGACTGAAATAAGCACAGGTGAGTTCTTGAATAATCCTTCTAAAGTATAGTGGTGTCCAAGGTTCATCATCCATTCTGTGCAGAACATGGTCAACTTGAGCATTATGATCTAATGAGATATGCTACTGTTTGCATGAACTACTAGATTCAGGATCCTTCAAAGCCACGCGCGTGGTTATTATTCCGACGCCTTGATGTAGTGCTCAATTAATCGATATTGGTATTTGGTGGACACGTTGGGGTTATATCTTCCTGCTTTCATCTTTCCCACACAACATAGGAAGGCTTGCATGGAGGAGACACTGCAGCTTGCTCGACGGTGCACGCAGGAGCACACCTTCACTGCGCCGCCCTCCATTATTCTACACGAGAATAAATTCAAATTTAAACTAAGGTATGCTAAGAATTCAATTCAAAGGTGACTTTTTTGTCCCTGCAAATGAAATCAGGTAATGTTATATGGTTTACTATGCATTCTTAGATCAGGTTAGGTTGGACGAGGATGAGGTCGAACTCAAGTTGAGCTTAGATTGGCTTTTAGGTTGATCAGAACCCATCCAGAGTCGTGTTGGCTAATAAAAGTGGACGGTTGGTATGTGCCTCGACGACAACGCGTCGACGATTGCGATGGCCCTGATGAGGACATGTGTCGGTGGGTCGCGATGGAGAGTCCGCGGGTTGGTCGACGGCTGTGATTTGTGTTTGACATCGAATGGTCCAACGAGTGAATCATCCCGCAGGAGATCCCATAACTGAAGCAACTTCCCATCGTGACCGTCTACACCACCAACAACACTCCATCGTGACCGTCGAACTTACTTCGTCGTCCTGGTTAAGGGATCCAATCCAAAGCGAAACAACTTCTCGAAGAAGGGATCACATATTCCTCCCCCTTTCTTTCGCCTTTCGTCGTCCGCTGAGCCAAAGAAGCACGCGCCTCCACGCGACACCGTAACCGCCGCGTCCCCGCCGCGACGATGTCTTTGATGCTCGTCGATTGCTCCGGCTGCCGGACGCCGCTCCAGCTTCCGCCAGGGGCCAAGTCCATCCGCTGCGCCCTCTGCCAGGCCGTCACCTACATCCCCGACCCCCGCGGCGCCCCCGCCCCGGCGGCCTCCCAGGGCTACCGCCCCCCTGCAGCCCCGTCGCCCGGCGCCGGTACGCCGTGGGGCCCTCCGCCGACGCCGCACGGGAGGAAGAGGGCCGTGATCTGCGGGATCTCGTACCGTTACTCCCGGCACGAGCTCAAAGGTTGCATCAACGACGCCAAGTGTATGCGCTACCTCCTCATCAACCGCTTCGACTTCCCAGAGTCCTCGATCATCATGCTCACCGGTGCGCCACCTTTACCCTCCTCCTCGGTTCGATCTTTCCTTTCTTGGAATCCGGCTTTCTGGTGCTTGATAGCGTAGTCTTTAAATTGTTGTCCGGTTTGGATCGGCATGTCAGGGTTGAATAGCATCGTTTGTTAATTGCCTCGGTCGTCAAAATAGCATTAATCAAAATAGCATTGATCTTGAAAGACGTGGCCCTGCAGATAATCTACGGCTTCGTCCACAATAGACTTTCAATGGTCTCCGGATGTCTTTTTCTTTCTAATAGTATTTCTCCGCACAATCTCATAACTACTATGGTTATAATTGTCTCGAGGAATGAGCCAAGGTTCCTCTACTTCCTTAGGAAGAGTTGATATGTTGTTCAACCAGGTGAATAGTCCATAAGATAGTTTTTGCTCTCAAATTGCTTAACAAGAAGGGAGAAAATGCAACACACACTTGTGTACAATATTTACTAACACCAAAAGTGTCAAAAGAAAACAAGGAAATGTGTGATCGTCTGTAGTTATTAATCAAATAGTCCACGAAGCCTCTCTCTTATGATTTCATCTATTGTTACTTTTATCTTAGTCAGGTTCCCAGGTATTATCAAGAAAATTTCCATTTCACACGTAGATGCTGGCCTCCACTGTTTGACTCCCTAGTGGAGCATTCTTCTTTTGCGTTGTCAGTGTATGACAAGAACAGACCTTAGTGTCACAATAAGCTTGCTCCTCTGAAATATATATGACTTGGTATATACGTTCTTAAGGTTGTAATGTGTTGTTGCATCCTACAAAATGTTTGTCTACGTTGCATTTGCTGAATAAATGATGGTTTCTTGATAATATGGTTGTTCCGCTCCTATATGTGTGGGATCTCTTTTCCTCCTTCAAGCCTAATATAAATTGTATGTTTCATGAGTTTGTTGAAACTGCATATGTCATTTCACACCATTCGATTTTGTGGCATTAAATCATCTTTCCCATATATCTGCTCTCTTAAATAAAGCAGTTCTAAGATAGATAATTAATTTGCAGAAGAAGAGACTGATCCATATAAGTTCCCGACAAAGCATAATATAAGGATGGCCCTATATTGGCTTGTACAAGGCTGTCAACCAGGAGACTCGTTGGTATTCCATTATTCTGGCCATGGTTCGCAACAAAGGAGCTATCACTCAGATGAGGTTGATGGCTACGATGAAACCTTGTGTCCTCTGGACTTTGAATCACAAGGAATGATTGTAGATGATGAAATCAATGCAACAATTGTGAGACCGCTTCCTCATGGAGTAAAGCTTCATGCAATAATAGATGCTTGCCACAGTGGTACTGTACTGGATTTACCTTTCCTCTGCAGGATGAATAGGTATTGACCTATTTCAGATTGTTCTTTCTTTTCTCTATTCCTTCATAATATTGTCTAACTTTTCTGTTGTTTTTACTTTTTATGACATGTTCAATGATATGTGATAATCGTTGCTTGTTAAATTTGCATTGAGTCTCTCCCTTTTGGCAATCTGACATTTATCTTATAAAATATTTTTTTGCAAGAATTCAATGGACAAGTTTAGCAGCTATCATATTTTTTAAACTTGTAGTAGGTTGGTTGCACATGAGCTTTGGAATATCATTGTTGTTGTTTTTAGTAAATTCAATGGCCTTTAGAATTCCTTATGTACAAGCTAGTTAGGAAAAAAAATTAAGTCCAAAGGTTCACTATTGTCGAAGTTGGTTGTCCTGGTGTCCCTATCAATATACATGGGTTATTAGCTAGAGTAGGCCCATACCTGTGATGCATCACTAGCCCAATATAGTCTTTGGTAAGTTTAGATGCATCTAGCTCCAGCGATTTAAAAAGACGCTCGGGCGAGGCGAGGCGAGGCCCGAGCGCCTCGCTAAACTTCCAGGAGGCGCGCATCAAAGAGGCGCCGCCTGGGCGCTCGCCCGAAGCGCGCCGCTTGGGCGCTCGCCCGAGCCCAGGCGCTAGGCGCTTCGAGCGAGCGCCTGGGTTAAACCAGGCGACCGAACCAGGATTTTAGGTCTGGTTCGGTCTCCGGTGGTTAGTTGGTTCAATCGAACCAACTAAAACCAATATCAGCGACAACCCAACCCTAACCCTCATTGTCGCTGTCGCTCCCGATCCCGATCCCGCTGCTCGCCGCTGTCGCTACTCGTAACCGCTGCTGCTGTCGCCGCTCGCGCCTCCCGCTGCTCACCGCTCCTGCTCCTGCTGCCGCTGTCGCTGCCTCCTTACACTCCCGCTGCCGCTGTCGCTGCTTTCTTACACTCCCGCTGCTGCTGTCTCCTTACATTCCCGTTCCCGCTGCCACTGCCTCCTTACACTCCCGCTGCCGCTGTCGCTTCCTCTTTTCTCAATCAACACCCCCTTACACTCTTCCTTCTTCTCTTTCTGTATACTGTTAACAGTATACAACAGTATATATTTAATATACTGTATCTTAGATTTTCTTAATTTAATAGCTTATTTTTATTTAAAATTTTAAATAATTATATTTATTAATTATATTATATATTTTTATATTTTAGCGCCTCGCTTCGCTCGGGCGAGCACCTAGCGTCTCGGGCGTTTTTGGACCTTAGCGCCTTTTGGCGCCTAGCGCTTTTTAAATCACTGTGACTAGCTCACACTATCAAGTTTGTTCACCACACTATTTCTTGCATTAATAAGATAAAACCATCTAGTTTCTAATGAAACACAGTGTCCGAAGAACTCATCTGAATGGTGATAATCACTCTTTCTTGGATGAAATATTATGCTAATATTGTTGAAACACATAATCAGGAGTTTTTTAGTTTTGCAAAAAAAAAGGGATCTATAATAAGTTTCTCAAGTCCATGATCAGAAGTTTAAATTTTAGTAATTACGATGTATTAATTTTGTCTAATTGTTCACAAAAGTACTGAATTCCATTTGCATGAAAGTGCTACCTTTAAGAATTTCATGTACTTCAATTTTCTAAGCATTTATATATATATATATATATATATATGTATATATATATGTATGTGTGTATATATATATGTATGTGTGTATATATATATGTATATACATATACATATATATATACTGAATATATATATATACATATATACATATATGTCCTATGGATGTGCTTTGTGTGTTTAAGATGGCATGAGCTCGGCAATGAACCTGTTCAGGATGAATTCCATCACCTTGAAACACAGCATCATGTTCAGCATATCCAGGAAACATGTGACATATACTGTTAAATGTAATTTCTGTGCAGAAAATGGGATGATCCAGTTAGCTGTAGTGGTTAATTCTACAAATTAGCTTCTGTCGAGTCAGATTAGGAGAACAACAGTCAGAAGCTTTTGTGAGCAAAATTACACTTGCTTTTTGACTAGCCATTGTCTTACCACATTGGTAATCCTTATGTCAGACTGATGGTATCCTGTTTGTGGATTTGTAGCTTCTTACTCCTGATTCTGTCTCACCATGAAAAAGATTAGTCTAAAAGAACAATAAGGAATAAGTTTGCAGTTGACTAGCTGATGTTTTTCACATTTGTTACTTTGCCATGCCAAGTACTGACATCAGATAGTGTTTGTGTGGCACTCTCTTCATTTTGGATGAAGAACCAATATCATTTGCTTATCTCTTGAACAATTAAAATTAGTAGAATATATTTTATTATTTTGCTATAGTTAATTGATATCATATTTATCGATGTAGGAGCGGACAATATGTATGGGAAGATCATCGCCCTCGATCTGGTGTTTGGAAAGGTACAAGTGGTGGTGAAGCCATTTCCTTCAGTGGTTGCGATGACAACCAAACCTCTGCTGATACCTCGGTAACCTCTCTTCTTTTGGCAACTAATCCAACTTAGGCAGAGGATGAGTTTCCTCAAAAAAGTATTCGATCCATTGTAAAAATGGTTTCAATTACCAGCCAAAAGTTATGACATATGGACTTTTTTCTTTCAACAATGAAGTAGAATTTAACATGACAGCTACAAAAAGGTACTAAAAGCCCTCGAAACATTGGAGCTCAAAAAGTAAAAACATCATAGTGTTCTGGAAAATTACCTGTTGCAAAGATAAAATGTATTAGGTGTCAGAGAAGTACTCCATCGATAGCAGCAGTTACTAGAATTACTTGCAGGAACATGGGAAGGATAAAAGCTTTTTAAAAATGTTTAACAAACTAACAAGTCTTGTCTCATCTCAGCTCATGTTTGAATTTCAAATAGAGATGGCAACTTTGTGGTAATTAACTCCTTTTAGTTCCGTATTGTACAAATTTATTGAACTGCGCTCTTAGTTTGTTCACAAAGCTCCATCAAATATTTGCTATTGCTTACTGGTCTTAAGAACCATTATGAGTTAAAAATTTGACCACTCTTGAGGTCTCCAACAAGCTAATGAAACTTGTGAAGCCAGATCTTTGTACTACTTGATCAATCCATGCAACAGCTAAAGCTCCTGTTTCTTTGTGTAGGCTCTATCAAGAATCACCTCCACGGGTGCAATGACCTTCTGCTTTATCCAAGCCATCGAGCGTGGTCATGGGGCTACCTACGGAAGCATACTGAACTCGATGCGAACAACCATCAGGAGCACCGGTGATGCCATGGGTGGAGGTCCTGTAACATCACTCCTCACCATGCTGTTGACAGGAGGCAGTTTAAGTGGTGGGCTGCGACAGGTAATCTGGAATCCTCTCTCTCTCTATCTCTCTCTCTCTCTCTCTCCACCTGACCCATGCATCGTCTCATATGTTCGGTCATTAGATATGACCGAATGAGGTTAATGCTCCCACAGCACTTGGGTTGCATGGTTGACATATAACCTTTTAAAAAGTTAGCCCAGACAGAAAAAGGCTGATTTCCATGTCATTACCTCATACATTGTTTCTTTTATGTTATCCCTGGGAGTGTCCCTTCTGGGAGTCCTGATCTGTGGCATAGTTTGAGTTTGAGTGGATCTGCTACAACAAATATCATCATTTATTATGGATATATTATTGCAGGAGCCACAACTGACTGCGTGGGAACAATTCGATGTGTACTCGAAGCCCTTCTCTCTATGATGTGCCAGCGGCTGATTCTTCAACGCTTAACAGTACAGTACCCGAATATTTACACGATGTAAAATTGTGTGATTCACAATTCCTAATAGGACTTATCTTTTTTCGTTTCTTTTGTTGTAAGAAAGAACTTACATTCACAATTTTTAGACTACTGTTTTCATTTCTTTAATTGCATTGAGAGCTTTTTGTACTACCGTCTCTGTCCTAAGAATTACAACTCGGCTACTGCACGTGAAACGACGCTTTCCTCTTTCTCCATATAATATGCGAGAACGCTCGACGGTTTTAGCTTCTGTTCGGCCGTTGGCTTGCTCGATTTTGTCAGCGTAGCACAGAGGGTTAACTATCAACAAATTATATTAATATTATTATAACTATAAAAATGAAATATCTAAGTTTATTTATTTTTTAATTTTATTAATAAAAAAATATAAAAATAAATAATAAAAATATAATTTTAATATTTTAATTGATGACAACATCGTTAAGGATCATGGATGATTATTATGGATGAGAAAAGCGACAGCGAAAGGTGAGGATCACTCTATATCTATGTTGGTATCGACGTAAATATCGAGCGATAAAAGGACCACTGATGCAAATACCAAGCAGGTTACTCTGCATCGATGTTTACGTAGTTGTCGAGTGATGCGACTCGACATCTATATCAATGGTCCTTTCGTTGTTCGGTATTTACATTGATACTAACGTAAATGTAAAGTAGTCCTCACCTCTCATCGTTGTTCTTTCCATTCATGAAATCCACCTATGGCCGCCAACAGTACTATCATTTCCTGTCATCGACATCGTCTATCATCATCAAATGAAATATTAAAATTATTTTTTATTTTATATTTCAATTGATAAATATTTTATCTAAATATTTTATTTTCATAACCATAGAGACGCTAACATTCTAAAAGGAGAGAGAGAGAGAGAGAGACTCTTAAGTAAGGTTGGAGAACAATGCATCAAATTAAACACATAAACCACGATGACTTGGGCTAATATTTCGGCCCTCGTCATTGTTAGCCATACCAAGTTGCAAGAAAGAACGATTGTTGTAAATAAAATAAATGAATATGAATTAATCAATGTTCACAAGTCGGTCTCTCTTCCGGGTCAAACTACCCTTTATCTACCACAGGTCAAAAAGGCTTGGACTTTACCTCCATCACTCCCTTCTGCTAATGCCCACTAATAAGGAAGTCGTTGTTCATCACGTCTCACAACCCCAATGGCACCGACGGCACGCATGCATAAATAAAAACCAATTGTACCATGTTTTCCTGGATGAAAAGCCCTAGTGAACCTAAATACCCATGTGTTGCCCTGCACAAAGCATCCTTCTAACTCTGAAGAAATGCATCCAACTTATTGGATTTGATCTGCTGCGGAGGCCGGAAATCTTCTAGCTGTAGATTGGAGCTACCCAGAATGTCATTCAAAACGGAGTCCCCTCCTTTTGACCTTACGGTCTCGAGGATGCTACCAAGAACCTCTGCTGCTAGTCCAACCTCTCTCGCACGACCTGGTTCCTCGCCTCCTTCAAGTATCAGTCTCCCTAAATCTCTCAAAGGCACCACTTTTTCCATAACAATTATGGCAAATAGACGACCAAGAAACTCTGCTGCTCTCGGGGCGTCATTTACAGCGTCCTCCAACAAAGAAACAACGGATTCAAACCTGACAACAACCAAGTGGTGATCAGTGAAAATGTTAATGATAATAAGGCGATGTACCTAAGTTGGTTTCTCTAGACCACTCGTACCCTTGGAGTAGCTGTGCTCGACTAAGCAAGCAATCTCTGGAATTGCAGAGGTTGATTATAAGCTTCGCCAGAAGATCCCTTTCCATGTCTTTTCTCTCAAAGGAGTCGCTGACCCATAATGATATCATGGTAGGATAAAAACTTGGAGCATTTAATTCCTTGATGCACAATACAACCTCGTTCTCATCCTTGGCACTGAAGAAAAAGGTAGGTTTTACATTAGTTCCAGGCAAAGACCAAAGAACTTCTGATATAAAAAATAACAGCAACAGTATCTAATGCAATAAAGCAATGACTATGTAGATTAATGGCAGATGAAAGCTAGATGAGAGAAGAGAAAAATGACAGGTGAAAAACTTTAATCCAAAGTTGCTCCTTGGTCATCATATGAGCTAAATTGGTAGTTCTTACTACCAAACAACTAAACTCCCAAATTGAGATATAAGAGCATCCTTGTCTTGTTTTGACTTTGTTTATTAGAAGAGCAATAATTGAGAGAACTCTATGCACGAAGCTTTCGCCAATACGGGGTTTGAAGAGGGTCTATGAACACAGCATAACCATTACATATAGGGATATTGTTTTTAATTACTCAAACCGTAGTCACCAGATTGTAAAGGAACAACCATATTGTTGTAAGTTTGAATAATAGTCCTCCTCAAACTGGAAAGAAATAGGTAAAAGGTAATATTTCTCTTAAAGGATGTTCAAAATTTTCATTGATCTTCAGTTTGAAAGACAATCCAACCCTTCAACCATTTCATGTTAATACTTAGATGAACAAAGCACAAAGAGGTTAGAGATTCATATAGTGAAAAGATTAATACATGTTCACAACAATAAGCTAAACTATAAATAATAAGATAAACCAAAAGACTAATATGAAAAATATCATCAATAAGGCCGAAGATAATTTGTGTACTCCCATCATGCAAACCCAAACAACAGTAAAGCCTAGTCAATATGACAAACAGAGACTAGTCCCAACTATCACAACCAAAACTTGCACAGTATACAAAACATGTGATAGGGAACAATACCTGTAGTACTCTTTAATTGCTGAAATTGATTTTTCTTGCAGAACTTCTGGAAATGTTATTGTTTCAGAAACTGCAGTTAGGGTGCTATCTAAAGTGTCATTAGTTCGCCCAGCAGGTAGGGCAGATGTGGCAGATCTCTCAAAAGCAGGACCTAAAACCTTAAAGTCTCTGCTGCTGTAGTTATTACCACGATCTTGATGGCTTGGTTGATTGTATGTTGCTCCAGAAATCCTATCAGCCATACCATTAGTACCATTGGGACCCGGTGTCATTCTATGAAGATCCCCAACAACCGGAGAACTTTCAGCAGCTGATACATTAGATATTGATGAATGTCCTCCGATAGACATTCCCCTGGCCAGGCCACCCTGAGGACCGAGAGTAATAGAATCATCATTAGTACCCCTATGTGGAAGGGGAAGTGACATAGTCCTCGATTCATACTGATGTCTATCCTCCAACCGCACATCTTGAGCTCCATGGCCACGAACATGAGATGGCAATCCACGGGGCCCACCAACCTGATGGGAACTTGAAGAAGTCGATGAAGATGACCCACGGTGGCTATAATCAACTGCGTGACTACGTCTCGGAATATTATTGATGACAGGGCCACGAGCCAATCTACTTGATTGAGCTTGCCTTTCTTGAGCAGCATCCCTGTGAACCTCCTCAATCTTCTTTGGCCCCTCAACTTTCCTTCTTTGCTGCCATTTGTTCTTCCTAAGATCAATTGCATCTTTCAACATAAATCTAACACGTAATGACAGCTTCTGATTTGTTGATAACTTAGTTATCATGTCAAAATATGCATCCATATGTTCCTTTGCCTTTGCATGGTCTATCATCTCGCCAATTGTACTCATCAATTTGCACAGTGCTTCAACATCCTCTTCATCAGGATTCTGACAATTTCCCAGCAACTTCTTGATGCACTCATGCATAATTCTCTCAGTTAACATCTTCTTTTTGTATAATTCCCCGATCAACCGAATATTACCTAACATGCGCCTACGGGCCTGGAGCCTTTTCTCTTCCCTCTCCTCTTCAGACTGTTTGACGTCACCTTCCTCTTCGACCTGGTTTGCTTCAGCTTGTTCTCTCTCCCCTCTTTCAAATTCCTCTTGACATTTGTTCAGGAGCAGTCTTTTGAAAGTTATTTTTTCATTGTTTTCACTGAAATCCGGTAGTGCACCAGCAAGATGAAGACAGAAATTAGCATACATTTCACAAAAGGTTGGCTCCGTCAAGGCTTTGTCAAAGATCTGAGAGATGACACCAGTAAGAGTGACAGCATTGTCGATGTTAACTTCCTTAACCTGGTCAAAGAGCTTGTCAAAATTTTGAGGAGTCAATTTGTTAAGGATGCCTTTTAGTTGTCTTTGTTTTGCCTCTTCCTTATCAGAAACTTTGTGAATTTCATACTTCTTCTCGGCTTTGTGCATTGCATGTAAGGGTATTTGAGGAGAGGCTATTAAGCCTCTTGCTTGCTGCCACCTGTCTGCACCAGCATTACCATGTGGCATGCTTCCTTGAGATTGCACTAGTCCTGATGGAATCCCTCCTCCAAACTGATTGGGCATTTTCCCACGAGGATTTCTCAAAACACCATGACTGGCACCTTGCCCAGGACGAAGACTTACATTTGCAGCTCCACGCCCAGAGACAGGGCCAGTGCCAAAAGAGACAGGTGAGCTGGTCCATTTTTCATCATCCAAAGTGCCACCTGTACGACGGTCTATCCGAGAAGCACCTGATGGCCGATCTATGATCCTCCTAGGACTTGAGGATGGTGATTTTCCAACTGAAATGCTCATCAACACGTCTGCTATATCGGAAGCAATCTCAAAACCCACAGGAATCTCAGTAAATTGCTGAGAGAAGGTCATTAGAAAATCCCTTGAGTATTTCTTTCGATTAGTAGCTTCAAAACCATTATCATCACATTGCTTCCTTTCTCCCACAGCTAGCTGCCCATGCACTGATGTTTTCAGTTTTGTTGATGATGTGTCAGCAGCAACTTCCCAGTCATCCAATTCAGCTTTATTCTGTCCATCTTCCTTGCTTGCAGCAACATCCTTACTTCGAGAATTTAGATGTGCAACCTTTGTGTCGGCCGTTGAACCATCTATACTTTCTGACCTACTGAAATCTTCATGATTTTCCTCTGGGCACTTGTACGCATTATAAAGGTCAGAACTCCCTGCAGCATCTGCTTTAGAAAGCATTTCCTTTCTCTTCTTCTTTTTTCCAGCAGTAACCTTAGGTTTCAAGGTCTCCAGTAAAGGCTTCTCCTTCTGCCCCAAGCTTGTTGCAGATGCCAATTTATCATCAGGTAAATCCAAAGCTTTCGATTCTGGCTTCTGTACCACCTCAGAAA